GCCTCTCCCCCATTCGCTCTCTCTGTCTCTCAAAAATAAATAGATAAACTTAAAAAAATCTTTTTAATGGGCAAAGAGGGGCACTTGAGTGGCTTCATCAGTTAAGCATCTGACTTGAATTTTGGTTATGGTCTCAAGGCTCATGAGTTTGAACCCCACATCAGGTTCTCTGCTGTCTGCGCAGAGCTTACTTCAGATCTTTTCTGTCTCTCTCCCTCTCTCTGCCCTTCCCTGACATGCTCGCACTCTCTCTCAAAAATAAACACTTAAAAATGGGCAAGGAATCTGAATAGATGTATTTTCAAGGAAATCCTACAAGTTGCCAGCAGACATGTGAAAAGGTGCCCAGCATCACTCATCATCAGGGACATGCAAATCAAAACCACAATGAGATATCATTTTACACCTTTCAGAATGGCTTTTTTCAAAAAGACCATAGATAACACAAGTTGGCAAGGAGTGAGGAGAAGAGAACCCTGTATATTGTTGGTGGGAATACAAACTGGTAAAGCCATTATAGAAAACTATATGGAGTTTCAAACTATATGGAGGTTCCAAAAAAAAATGAAAAATAGAACTGCCATTTGATCTCCCAATTCCACTTCTAGGTATAGATCTGAAGAAATGAAATCCTTATCTTGAAAACATAGCTGTACCCCCGTGTTCACTGCAACATTATTCACAGTAGCCAAGATACAGAAGCAAGCTAAGCGTTAATAGTTGAATGAATAAAGAAAATGTAAATATATACAACGGAATACTACTCACCCATAAAACCAAGGAAATCCTGCCATTTGTGACAACATGAATAAACATGGAGGACATCAGGCTAAGTGAAATAAGCCAGAGGGATAAAGACAAATACTCTATGATGTCTTGGGGGGAAAAAGAAAATTCATAAAACCAGAGAGTGGAATGGTGGCTGCCAGAGGCACGGATTAAGAAGCATGTGATCAGGGGCGCCTGGGTGGCTTAGTCGGTTAAGCGTCCGACTTTCGCTTGGGTCATGATCTCGCGGTTCGTGGGTTCGAGCCCTGCGTCGGGCTCTGTGCTGACTGCCAGCTCAGAGCCTGGAGCCTATTTCAGAGTCTGTATCTCCCTCTCTCTGACCCTCCCCTGCTCACGCTGTCTCTCTCTCTCTCTCTCCTAGAAATAAAAAACAAAAACAAAAAAAAAAAACAGCATGTGATCATCTCAATAGATGGAAGAAAGCATTTCATGAGATTCAAAGTCTGTTAATGATTTTAAATAATAAGAGAAGTATAAAAGTGAATTAGTTTAATTAACAAAGAATATTTTAAAACAACAGCAAGTATTCAAAAAAATTTTTTAGGGGTGCCTGGGTGGCTTAGTCGGTTAAGCATCCGACTTTCGCTTAGGTCATGATCTCGCGGTTCGTGGGTTCGAGCCCAGCGTCGGGCTCTGTGCAGACTGCCAGCTCAGAGCCTGGAGCCTATTTCAGAATATGAATCACACTCTCTCTGACCCTCCCCTGCTCACGCTGTCTCTCTCTCTCTCTCTCTCTCTCTCTCCCCTAGAAATAAATAAAACATTAAAAAGTTAAAAAAAAAATACTTAAAAAAAAATTTTTTTTAATGTTTATTTTTTGAGAGTACAAACGGGAGGGGCAGAGAGAGGGGGAGACAGAATCTGAAGCAGCTCCAGGCTCTGAGCTGTCAGCACAGAGCCCGATGCAGGGCTCAAATTCAGGAACTGTGGGATCATGACCAGAGCCATAGTCGGACTTTCAACAGAGCCACCCAGGCGCCCCAACGCAAGTATTTTTTTTTAATGATTTTTTAAAGTTTATTTAGTTTTAAGAGACAGAGACACTGTGATTGGGGGAGGGGCAGAGAGAGAGAGGGAGACAGAATCCAAAGCAGGCTTCAGGTTCTGAGCTGTCAGCACAGATCCTGATGTGGGGCTCGAACTCATGAACCATGAGATCATGACCTGAGCCAAAGTTGGTGCTTAACCAACTGAGCCACCCAGGTGCCCCATGGTATTTCTAATAGTGATCTGTTGAATGCTTTCTTTTGAGATAGAAAACAGATACCAATTATCACCACCTATTTGCATCTCGTACTGGAGGTCTTGGTGCAGTGTTGGGGCGTGCTATCAGGAAGGAAGAGAAGGAGAGAGGCATGGAGCAAGGGTGAGGAAGAGGAGAAAGGGAAAAATGTATACTAGAAAAGCAGAAGGATTGGAGAAGTCTGCCTCTGAATTTCTGCAGAGGGATCCAGTGTTGTCTTTTGCTCCTTTAGGTGATTTCAGTCTGCAACTAAGTTCAAGAGCCGGGTCCCTGTCTACCTTTTGTAAATATTTATGGAGGTTATGGCAATGGTACAGTAGCTTTATTTTCATTTTTAAAAATGTCATTCATCTCAAAACAAGGTTTTCCAAAGAAAATTTTGGCTTGACTTGGTACCAACTTAAGGTAGGCTTCCTTCTATTTTCAATTCTAATAGTAACCACTCTTCAAGTGGAATTACATAGATAATGAATGCCACATAATAGATGCTCAGAGCTGAGTGATTATTCTGATTTTTCAATGAATTCTATGTTGGTGTTCTATAAGAGGTAATTTTTTAACATTTTTTTTATTAAACATTTGGACAGAACAAGATAACAATCTTTTACTAAGAAGCCCTTGCTATAAAATTATTGTTTTAGGTCAAATTATAATTCCTTCCAAGGAATATGTTTGCTGAAACTTTTCCCACTCTGAGGTAGAAGTTATCATGTGTTTGGTTTTTTTGCAGTAATAATATAATTTCACTTTTACCTCTGTTTAATGACACTTAAATAATTATTTTAAAAACATATAAGGATTTGAAAGGAAGAAATAAGCTATTTGTTGACAAAGTGCCTATATACATGGAAATTAAAATTTATGAAAATATTAAAATTAAGGGAGTTTAGTTAAGTAACTGGATATAAGATCAATTTTTCTATACCAGCAATAGTTGGAAAATAGAAATTTATTAAATTTCCCATTTGTATTTACATAATAATACCAAACATCACATAGAGATGATTCTAATAAAGTCCTTTATACTTCAGACTTTTAATAAAAGACTGAGAGAAACTTAAGAAATGAATTAAAAGACATATACCATGTTCATGGATTAGAAGACTCAATATTGTAAACACATTACTTTTCCCTAAATGGATATATAGATTCATTGTGGTCTCAGTTAAAATTCTGATATTTTAATAGGTACTGACAAGTTGACTATATGCTATTTGTGGGAATGCAAAGGTGGGGAAAAACCAAGATATTCTATAGAGGAAGGAAACTGTTCTGTTGAGTACCAGGACTAATTATGTAAACCCACAACTATGGAAACACTGTGGTACTGGAACAGGGTACACTGAACAATGGAATAAAAGCACCCAGAGGTACACCCACATCTTGATTGACAGGAATGGTCTGACTGCTAAGTGGTGATGACAGGATCGTTTTTAAAACAAAAAGGGAGGGGGGCCTAGGTGGCTTAAGCATCCCACTTTTTTTTTGTTTCTTTTTTAGTTTATTTGTTTGAAATAGAGAGCTTGTGAGTGCAGAGAGAGAGAATGCCAAGCAGGCTCTTCACTGCTAGCATGAGCCTGACGCAGGGCTCCGACTCACAAACCATGAGATCATGACCTAAGTTGAAACCAAGAGTGGGTCTTAACCAACTGAGCCACCCAGGCACCCAAGCATCCAAATCCTGATCTCAGTTCAGGTCTTGATCTCAGGGCTGTGAGTTCAAACCTCGTGTTGAACTAGCACTGGGCATGAAGCCTGCTTCAGCAAGGGGTATCTGGGGGGCTCAGTCCATGAAGCATCAGACTCCTGATTCCAGCTCAGGTCATAATCTCATGGTTTTGGGATCGAGCCCCACGTCGGGCTCTGTGCTGACAACACGGAGCCTGTTTGGGATTCTCTCCCCAGCTCACACCCTCGCTCTCTCAACAAACAAAACCACATTAGGTCCTGTCACAGTCCCATGATGACTTGGAGGGTGGCAGCACAGAGGCTGCTGGGAGGGAACCCGCACACGTGTGCAGGGAAGCTGGTTAGCGGCTCCTAGTGGCTGAGGCCCCTGTGACCCGGCAGCCCCATCTGGGGGCTAGGCCCAGCAGATGTGCGGTGGCGTGTTCATGCTCGTGTGCTAGTGCAAAGCAGCACACAATGGTGCGGGAGTTGTCGGGGAGTGAAACTATACAGACCCGCATTGTGGGCACATCTCGCAGATAAAGTGGCGACAGAGAAGCCAGGCAGGAAGGAGTAAACGGGTCTGCTGATACAGTGTTCGAAGTGAGGCAGAATTAAGCTGTGCTATTCAGAGCACGTGTTTGCGTGGCAGTGCTATGAAGAAACCAGATGTGAATGTTGGTACTTCTGTGAGCTTTTCATTTGAGTTTGATGCCGTTTTAAGTAAAGAAAAGTAGGTTCAAAGGAGAAGTCAGTTGGGGAAACAGGACACGAAGCGCTGGGAGGCCCTGGGCCGGAGCCGGATCCCTCGCCTGGCTCCCAGGGCTCCTCCCTCACAACCCCTTTCCCGAGGACACAGTGTTGCTTGCTTCTGACCTTATCAGTCTGTTCGTGGGAGGTGCCTGCTCCCTCTGGGGCAGCGGAGTGTGTGGGGCTCACTGCATAGACACTGCTTTCATAAGTTCATTTTACGAGTTTGTGGAATGGCCGGTGGGAAGGATACTGGAGCCTTGTTTTCATGCCCACCCCCCCAGCCTTCTCCAGCGCATTTGAGGGCTGAGTGCCCCTGAAAACCAGGAGGGAAGGGGGGGGTGCTGGGGCGGCGGAGGGGGCACTGCTGGGGCAGGGGCCTGAGGGGAGAAACTTGGCTGCTGCGAGACCTTGGAAGGTGCACTGGAGAAGAGGCGAGACCAGCGTGCGGGCTCTGCAGGTCGTAGAAGGCGTCTCTGTGGCCAGGGATGTGCCAGGCGAATGGGAGCAGAGTAGGCTGGTACAGAGGCACGTTTCCTGTTTCTTCTAGACACCGCACCCTGTAAAGACCAGCTGTCCTTAAAGGAAAAGTCCGGCTTCCCAGCCAGTCCACAGCATCTGAGCCAAGCAGGCCCCAGGGACGCCCCTGGTGGTGCACCAGCCCCTTTGCCGCCATCTTCCCCTCCCATGACTGCTCCGCCCCAGGACGTGGCCGCAGCCGCCAGCCCCAAGCCAGAGCCCACAGTGGGGACTGCTGTGCCGGCGGGGGGCCCAGGGACCTCTCAGGGGATGGCCAGTGAGCACAAGACCCCCCAGCCACTGGCAGAGACTCAAGACACCCAGCTTTCTGCACAGCCCCTGGGTGCCGGCGGGGGGCCTTGTGCCCCACCTCGGGAGGCCCCCCGCTACCCCTCAGGTTTGAGAGAGCCCACCTCAGCCAGGGAGGCTGCAGCCCAGGGTGAGCCCTCGCGGGCTCCGGCCCCTGCACCCAGCGCCCCCAGTGGGACCCCTCAGCCTACCATGGGGCAGTCCCTACCCCCGTTGCCCCCTGCGGTGGGGGCCATCAGCCTGGCCACCCCCCAGCTCCCCAGCCCCCCACTGGGACCCACCGCGGCCCCCCAGCCACCCTCGGCCTTGGAGTCAGATGGGGAGGGCCCCCCCCCCCGGGTGGGCTTTGTGGACAGCACCATCAAGAGCCTAGATGAGAAGCTTCGAACTCTGCTCTACCAGGAGCACGTGCCCACCTCCTCAGCCTCGGCCGGGACCCCTGTGGAGGCGGGGGACCAACACTTGACCCTGGAGTCCCAGCCTGTGGTAAGTCCTGGCCCCACCGGGGTGGCGAGCGCCTCAGGCACACAAACCTGCCTCACTCGGCCCTGGCCGCCGCGCACTCAGAGGCCCACCCACGTGTTTACAGAAGTGGTTAATTTGGGGCTTGGGGAGTGTGTGTAGGGCCGGGACAGGCCCGGGTCAGGGAAGCCTGGGGAGGAGCCCAGCGTTCACACAGGGATCCGCAGGGCGCTCCGCACATCCGCAGGAGGGACTTAGGACTCTTTCCCTTCCTTCCACCAGCTGGGAAAGTCCGAAACAGCCCCCGGGCTGGGGGCCACACTGGAGCAGGCTGGGTCCTCGCCAATGACAGGTAATGAGCCCCAGGTCACCCGCCAGACCCTCAGTGCTTTCGCGATGCAGCCTGCATCTCTACCCTTCATCCCTGTGGCATCTTGGGTGGGACTCAGGCCTCACGGGAGCCTGTTGCTCTGCGTTAGTTAAAGCCCACTGTGTTCTAACACACTGTGTACTCCCGCCCCAAGGTGAGAAAGGCCTTTATGGAGATAGCTGGGTGTCAGGATGGGATCAGGGACTGTCCGGCTGCCCAGTGCCCTCCACGCGCTCTGGCAGGCACCCCTGAGCCCCGTGTTCTTCAGGTCACAAGATGCGGGAGCTTGATTTGGTAGAGTGCAGGGCTGGGGCTGAGAGCTTCCAACAGGTCTATGGCAGCTGCCGTCTGGGGCCAGCAAGTGCCTGCGTGGGGCTTCCTCCCGGGGGCCTGGGTGCTGCGTGTCTCTGGCAACTCTGGCTGTGGTTCCCATGTCATTACCCCGACACCTGTGTCAGCCTGAGGGCCTCAGTCTCCCCTTCTAAGGTGGGGTTCCTCCGGAGCTCCGCAAGGTAAACCAAGGCTGACCCTCTGGCAGGACCCTGGGTTTGTGTCAGCGGCAGGTGAGGCCAGTGGCCTGCTGGGTCCCCGGATGCCACATTCATAGGTGTCACACTGCCGAGGAATGGGGACAGCTGGCACGGGGTCAGAAGCCGTAGCACGAGTTTACCTGGGAAACGGAGGGTCAGGCGATGAAGTAGGAGCGCTCTGGGGGAGAAAGTAAGACGCTGTCCCTGAGGGCCACCCCCTCTTCGGACCTCTGCACGTGAAGTGTACCGTGGGTCCCTTCTGTGGCATCGGACTTCAGATGCTGTAGCCACTCCCAAGTCCACTCCTCCCAGAGTGCAGAGCGTGTGGGGGGAGCTCGAAGGAAACATGGGAAGCGTTTCTGGAGGTCAGAGCAGTCTGGAAATGGGGGGGGGGCGTAGAGCGATCCCGTGCCTAGAGGTGCGCAAAGAGAGGGTAGACCCCCCACCGCAGGGACGTGGGGGGCGTAAGGCGCTACCTGTGGGCTAGGGGTGTATGACATTTGGGCCTGGGTCTCCCCAGGAACCCGCACAGCAACAGCCCCTCAAACCTTGCCAGAGGCTCTCACCCTTGCGCCAAGCACGCCAGCCTGGCTGTGGGCTGACACACCTCTGCCTGCCCCACGGCTGGCTTCTGCCAGGCGCGGGTCCCAGCCCCTTCTGCTCTGCTGCTTGGCGGGCCTGGGAAAGGGGGTCAGAAATACTGCGCCACGTCCGCGCTCCGTAGATGGGGAAGCTGGGATAGCTTCAGATGACCGGCGCCTGCCCTAGACGCTGAGCCAGGGTTAAGAACTGGCCCTGTTGATGCAGGACCTCATGAGACCCTTTTATCATCGGATTTGACAGGGAGGCCGTCAGGTGCATAGAGATGACAGGTGAGATGGTGGTGACATCAGATGTGCAGAGATGACCTGTGACACAGAGTGGCACTGCTGGGTATTAGAAGTGACAGGTGGCACAGGTGACGGCTATTGGGTGTGCAGAGGGTGGGGCAGTACCCCAGGTTCTGGAGCAGGTGCCTGCAGGGCCCTGAGAAGGGTCAGGCTGACCCCCCCTCCCTTCCCCAAGTTATTGGGTGTCTCCTAAGAAGAAATGGGGTCAGGACATGCTGGAGTATTTGTAGTTTGCCTCGCTGCTGAGCACACACTGTGCAGCCCCCCTTCCCTGGGCGGCTGCCCTTCCACTGACCTGACTCGGCTGGAGGGCACCGACGCCGGCCCTTGTCCTCCCCGCGGACCGAGTAACGAGTTTGACGTTCCTACAGCAGAGTCGTCTTTGAGCCAAGAGATAGCCTCAGGTTTGCCCACGGCACCAAGTGCCCCCCAGGTAAGGAGTGGTCTCCCAGGCGCCTGGCTGGTTGGCAGGGTTTCCTCTCTGCTGGTATGTGCTGGAAACTTCTCCTTTCCGCTCCTTGTCCAGGATGCCCCCGCTTCTGCCTTCCCTGCACTCCTGGAGCCCGCAGACCGGAGCAGTGGGGTCCCGGGGGAACCCCCGGCCAAGCCCACACTGGGGACACTGACGGAGGCCAGCCAGGCCAGCCACCTGCAGACGCAGGGCACTCTGGCCTCCGGGTCCCCCCAGAAGCGTCCAGGGCAGCAGGAGGGCAGCTCACCAGCCACAACCGTGGGCCGGTTCTCGGTGGTCAGCACGCAGGACGAGTGGACCCTGGGCCCCCCCCACAGCCTGCGGTACTCGGCGCCGCCGGACGTGTACCTGGAGGAGGCCCCCCACAGCCCCGACGTGAAGCTGGCCGTGCGGCGGGCGCAGACGGCCTCCTCCATTGAGGTCGGCGTGGGCGAGCCGGTGTCCAGCGACTCTGGGGACGAGTGTCCGCGCAGGCGGCCCCCGGTGCAGAAGCACGCCTCCCTGCCCAGCGGTGGCGGCGTGGCCAGCGACTTCGTGAAGAAGGCCACCGCCTTCCTGCACAGGTCTTCACGGGCCGGCTCTCCGGGCCCGGAGACGCCCGGCAGGGTGGGTGTGAAGGTGCCCACCATCAGCGTCACCTCCTTCCACTCCCAGTCGTCCTACATCAGCAGCGACAACGACTCGGAGATCGAGGACGCCGACATCAGGAAGGAGCTGCAGAGTCTGCGGGAGAAGTAGGTCCGGAGAAGCAGGCGCTGGGGCGGCTCAGGGAGGTGTCGCGCGCTCGTGCTGGGGGGGGAGGGGCTGCCTGTGCTACGACCCGGTCTCCTGCGCGGGCTCCCACTGGGCTCGCTGTCTCCCCCAGCAAGTCTCACTTGCTCCACTATGTTGGGGACGCCGCGCAGAAGTGGCACATGCTGGAGGGAAGAGCCTCACAGGCCTCTGCCATCTCGTTATTCCTTCTGCTGGGCTGTGCAGGCCCTGGGGAGGGAGGGCGACAGGTTACCCTCACCTGCCCTGGCCCCGCCCACCCCCCCACCGACCCGCCCCACCTCACTCTACTGCCCCGGGCCCCAGCCCGCCTTGGCCCCTCACACTCCTCCCACCTGCACCCCCCCCTGGCTTATCCTTCCCCCACTTGCCGCAGCCACTGAGTCAGGCCCAGACATAGGGGACCTGCCTGACAGCTGAGTACTCAGGTCCCCTCAGCGGCCACTGGATTTGGAGGCACACACGGAGGTGCCTGGTCCAGGGATGGGATGTCCTTGCAGGGTGTGTGGGGGGTCTTCTCTGCACACACTTACCTGGGGGTGGTCACCCTGGGGGCCTGCGGGCCACAGGAATAAGGGGAACCATTGGGCCGCCTGGGTAGCTCAGTTGGTTAAGCGCCCGACTTCGGCTCAGGTCATGATCTCATGATCACATGGTTCGTGGGTTCGAGCCCTGCGTCGGGCTCTGTGCTGACAGCTCAGAGCCTGGAGCCTGTTTCGGATTCTGTGTCTCCCTCTCTCTCTGACCCTCCCCTGCTCGCGCGGCCTTTCTCTCTCTCTCTCAGAAATAAATAAAAAACATAAAAAAAAAAAAAAAGGAATAAGGGGAACCAAGAGGCAACTGCCCTCTCTGAGAGGAGCTGTGTATGGGTGGGGAGGAGGAGACCTGGGCCTGGGGTGGGGGTGGGGTAAGTTCGCGAGGTTCATGCAAGAGGGGAATTTGGATAGTCTGAGCAAGGGAAATCGGATGACAAGTCTAGGCTCTTGCCTGGGGAGGGGCCCTGAGCTTTGAGGCACCTGCTGTAGAACCTGGGGCAGGATCCTGGGACCAGGGGGGTCCTCCGGAATCATTCCTCTGCCCTTCAGCAGTTTCACCTCAAAATATCACCCCTTCAGAAGCTAACTTGATGCACCAGCACTTAGCTGGTTAGGGTCAGCTTTCTGAGGTCTGGCAGGAATTGAAGATAAGAGGTGAAATCAGAGTTTGCTCCCTGTTGTCCAGCCACGTGGCAGACGACGGGTCAGGGGTGTGGCTGAGGGGCTGGGCCCCCCGGCCAGGGCAGCCAGGCCCATGAGACGTCTGAGGGGCTGGCATCAGGCCCAGAGTTGCAGGCGGGTGACTGGACAAGTGAGCAGTGGCTGGGGGTGGGCCAGCGGGTCCCCAAGGGAGGGTCCTTCTCTGGCTTGTTCTAGAAACTTCTCTCGCCTGTAGCCAGTAACTGCACCTGTGTCTTCGTGGCAGCTTCGCACCTGTGTATGCAGGGGGGGGTGGTGTCTGCACTGAGAGCCCCCACCCTTGCTCACGTGGGCATCCTCTCCTCTGTGATGCCTCTCCAGGATTCCCACCCCCACTACCCCTCTGGCTCAGAGGAAGTGACATTTATTTGCCCGAAGGGCCGAGGCAGCCTCTCAGTTCTGAGCGCCGAGTGTTTTCTCTTCCCCTGGGCTTCTGTGTAGGGTCTGTACTAGGAGCATAAACATGGGGAGTTGTTCATACCCTGCTCCTCAGCCACTCAAGGTGGCAGCGTCACGAGTCCAGCCACCTAAACACTCGAGTCCCCTTGGTCTCTTGCTCGTACCCTTCGGTGGTACCGGGGGTGTTCACGCAGGAGACCCCCAGTGGGGCCCCCTCGGTCCTGACGGAGACCGGAAGTCCTCAGTGCCCCCATCTCCTCCACGTGGTCCGTCTGCCCGAGCGCCCCGCCGCCCCGCCCCTCCCGCCGCCGCTGCTGCGCGCGCTCCTGGACGGGCCGCGTGCGGGATCCGAGCAGGGCGCCCATCGCCCGCCCTCCCCTCCCGCAGGCACCTGAGGGAGATCTCGGAGCTGCAGAGCCAGCAGAAGCAGGAGATCGAGGCCCTGTACCGCCGTCTGGGCAAGCCCCTGCCCCCCAGCCTGGGCCTCTTCCACACGGCCCCTCCTGCGGGCCGCAGGAGGAAGAGCAGGAGCAAGCTGAAGGCGGGGAAGCTGCTCAACCCGCTGGTGCAGCAGCTCAAGGTCGTGGCCTCCAGCACAGGTCTGTGTCCTCCCTGCCGGTGGGCTGGGCCGGGACCCGGGAGGGGCAGGCGGGAGGCAGGTGCCCGCACCTAGAAGAGCAGTTCTCGGATCCCCTTTCCCTGCAGCGGGGGAGCCTTCGCAGGTGTGAAGGGCCGGGGTCGGCGTGCCCACCGTGAGGGAGTGCCCGGGCTGCTCCGGGGCCCTCGGCTGCCGGGGGCGGCGTCCTCCGGCCATTTCTCTGGCACTGGTCACCTGCTAAAGTCGGGGTAGGGGAGCTGCCTTTCGGGGAGGGGGGAGGGGGGAGGACGCCCGGGCACTGAGGGTGCGCCGGAAACCCAGCGAGCTGGGATCCCGGGCGTGTGTCAGGTGGGAAGCCAGCCGGCCCGCTCGGTGTCACGGATAATCTGCAGGGGGCGTGTCCGTGAACTGCAAGAGTTACCCAAATCACACGAATTCCAGGATGGTTCCTAGAGCTGAGCAGAAACTGGTTAGGGTGAGCAGGTCGTACAGGCCTCCTGAGCCAGGGTGCGCCTCTGCAGATGCGCCCTGGGCCTTGCACGGCGCTGGCGACCGCTGGGGACTGTGGTTGTCTTCTCTGACCTTCCTGACGCCCGCGCTCAGGTGACCAGGCCACGTGCCCACTGCCTGCAGGGACTCGGCTTCCCCAAGGTCACCCAGCAACGAGCAGGGAGGACAGATGCACCCCGCGCTGGCTGGTCTGACCCGCAGCGCCTCACTGTGCCTGTCACCCCTTATCCCCCCACCCTCCCAGGTCACTTGTCAGACTGCAGCAGAGCCCCTCCTGCTAAGGACCCTGCCCAAGCCAGGGCGGGGCCCGAAGCGGCTTCAGACCCGTGCGGGAAGGCAGTGCAGACCCAGCAGCCGTGCTCCGTGCGGGCCTCCCTGTCCGCAGACATCTGCGCCGGCTTAGCCGCTGACGGAGGCGGAGCGCGCGGCCCAGGTGATTCCCGCTTGCCCCTCTCGGAGCATGCGCTAGCTGCCCAGGCCCCCCACCCCAGGGTGTCGGGGGCGTGATGCCCGCAGCCTCTCGGAAGGGGCCGTAGAGGCAGCCTTTGAGGGACAACAGTGGGACAGTGGGCAGCCCACCCGTCCCCGGGGCGCGATGTGCAAGGCTCCGCGGGAGGCGTGCTCTGCCAGAGCCGGGCCGGGACCACCTGGTCACGCGTGGGGTGCGCGCTCTGCGGCGGTTCCCGGCTGCCCCGCCCCGTCCCCGCCACGCATGGGGCCTCCCGTCAGAAGGGATGGCCGGGGGGGGGGGGGAGAGGGAAGGGGGGGAGGGCGTGGCTCCCCCCCACCCCCCTTCCCCCGCCCCGAGCTGGGAGTCTGCCCTGAGGAGGAAATGCTCGTCACCTCGGCCGCGGGTGCAGCAGCCGCGCAAGGAGGGGCTCCGTCCCCACCACTCTGTCCAGAGAAGTCGCGGTGACCGCTGCCGGCGCCCAGCCCCTGCCCGCCCCGCACGCCTTCCCAGGGTCCGCCTCTCTCGTGCTGCAGCGGTGCCTCCTTTCCATTGCGTGGTCGGCGGCTGTGGTCCTCCGGGCTGGGCTAGGCGGAGCCGTGGATGCTAAGTGACGAGGCTGATGTGGCTGGTGGTGTGTAGCAGGAATCCCAGAGACTGTACTTGATGCCTGTCTCTCTGTTTTCTTCCCTCTATATTCACTTGCAGGCTGGCCGGTTTACCACCCAACGTCTGAGAGACTGACCTATAAGTCTAGTAGCAAACCTCGCGCTCGATTCCTCAGTGGACCCGTGTCTGTGTCCATCTGTCTGTATTTGTTCTTTGTATTTTATCACCTCCTGGCCCTTGGTTTCTCCCCGCCCCTCCCTGTCTTCATTGCCTTCCATACATTCTGTAGGCTGCCTCCCCCTCCCCACTGAAGTCACCTACTTAATATCTAACACAGAGCCCTGCCCACACCCAGCCTCCTGGCCCCAGAAAGCGCCAGTGCATGCCCTCGGCTCATGCCCGGCACTAAAAGCATGTGCGGCCGCTTGCCCACTCCTGGCCTCGGGCGCCCGGCCCCCCAGACCCCCAAAGCGCTCTGCATTTTTCTCTTCACTTGTTTAACTTCTTAATTTTTTACGTTGGACGTAGTTTTATTTCTGTTGCGATTGTGGTGCATATATACGTCCGCTGTCCCCAGTTCCAGTAACAACAAAAAGACAACCCTGGCCTTCTCTAGACGCATGGTGTGTTTCACACGTGTCTGGATTCTGAAGACATGCATGCAGTGAGCTGAGACAGTTCTAGGTCACTGGCGGGTGTACTTCTGTACGAGGCCCGCGACACCGCTGCCCCAGCCCCGTGCCCTGCATGTGGAAAGGCTGAGAGAAAGGCCCTCCAGCTCGGACGGCCTGCCCCTCCCTCCAGTCACCTCGGGCACCCCTCAGTGTCCCCGGAAAGCCCCGTCCTCTGCCAATGGCTGTCTCTCTGGCCCGGCCCCTTCTGGTCTCTAGCTGGAGCACTTCACTTGCGGTGCCCTCTCCTCAGGGCTCTGCTCACCCAAACCTCCATCCTGGCCTCCCCCCCGCCCCGGCCCCCGGGCTTCTGGGACACCCTGCTGGCACCCAGAACTCCCGTCCGGGAAGGGTGTACCTGCTCAGGGCCATCCAGAATTACTTCATCCCTCAGAACAACTGGAAAATGAATCCAAAACTATGGGGTTTTCAGGTTTTTTTGTTTTTGAACACAAAAATTAAGGTTTCTATCAATTGGGTTGGAAATGCTGGTTTGGGGCACGTGGCTTTTTGCTGGTACAATAAAGATACATTGTGTTTGTTGGGACCTGAGGCCACGTCCACAGTGGGCATCTGTCCCCATCAGAGGGGCCATGTCACCCTCCTCCAGGCAGGACAGGGCTGAGGCATAGAACCTCCCAGAGATTCCCAGGGACTGTCTACTAACAGGTGCCCCACCTGAGCTGCTGGTTGGCTTTGAGCTGGTGGGGGGGGGGGTGGGAAGGGGGGAGCAAGGTCCAAGCACATCCCACTCCCTGCATCATTCGCTGGCTCTCTTCTGTCCCAGTGTGCGTGGCTGTCTCCTGGGATGTGGGGTGAGGGCGCCTGGCTCCCCAGGCATCTCCCGGTCACCCGGCTGACCGTGGCACTGCTGGGAACACTCGGGTCAGGCACGGGAAGCAGGTTAGAGCAGGTGATGCTTTCCCTGGGGTCCCCTGGTGTGAGCGGTCAAGGTGCCACATGCTTCTCTAAGGTCACCACCACTCCATGTTTGTGCCCACGTGGTTCTGCATTCGTTTTTAAGGGTTTTCATTTGTTTTACTATTATTATTCCAAGATAAAAAGAATTGGGAGGCAGGGCAGGGACAAATGGCTTAGGTTTTATTTCGGTCGCTGTGGCTAAGAGGAAATGGCTTGTGGCAGATGGGACTCCTGGCCTGGGCAGGGCTGATTTTAGGTGGTAGTGTGTGCCAGCTGGTCAGGCCTCGTCTTCTCTGATGCTGTGGGCCCACTGGCGTTGCTGTTTTCATAACCACCCTCTGCAGTCACGCCTGGACTGAGCTCTTCGTTGTTCTGGCCGCGTGTGGCCCCCATGGGCCCTGGCCCTGGGTGCATATGAAGACTCACCCATCCGTGCCCAGTGCCCTGCTGTCCGCCAAGCTGGCTGGTTCCCTGGGTGACGAGGGAGCTTGGAGGCCTGAGGAGACTGCAGGCACCTGTGAAAACCTGGAGGAAAGTTCGAGCCCGGCCACGGCCCTGGGGGCTGAGAGGTGGCAGAGAGGAGGTGTGAGGTGCAGGGCTGCGGGAAGACCCTGAGTGGGGGGCCTGCTCTGGGGTCCTGGTCTCCGGAATCCAGGCCAGCCGCAGTGTGCTGCACCTCTGCGCTCAGCTGGCCTGGCCTGCAGGAAGAGACGAAGTCTAGAGGTTTTCTGTTTGTGGCCTTGCACCGAACAGATCAGGCTCTAGGAAAACAAAATCTGTGTTAAGTTCTGAAGTACAGAAAGAAGGTCCCCAATTGTGTGACGCTCAGAGACCACGAGGGCATCCAGGCTGGGTCAGAGACGAGCAGGGGTGGAGTCAAAAGCAGCTGCAGGTGACCAGGAGGGAACCCCTTGTGGGAACGGTGTTCAGGCCCGGGAGGGAGAGCGTGCAGACGGTGAATCCTGGGCGCCGCCTGGGATGGGACAAGCCCACTGCTGGGAGGGAAGGGTCCGCGGCAGCACAGACAGGGTGAAGCCCTGGGCACAGACCCCTCCTTGTGGCCAATGGAAGGTTTGGGGGAAACTTAGGGAGCGTGTTTTGGGATTTAGGGGCTGCGGCTGGGTCGCAGAAGCGTCTGGGGGTCGGAAGCTGCTGTCAGACCGTGGGCCTCCTTCCCTCTGGCTCCAGCCCCCCTGACTGGATGCAGGTGCCTATACTTCTGGGGCCTCTCCGCGCAGTTATGGGGGTCTGCTTTGTTTTGTTCTCATGTGTCTATCAGCCTGTCGTCCATGCCACAGCAAGTCTGTCTCTGGGACCCCCGAGTAGGCCTGCCACTGGCCAGGCCCTGCCCTCACCCTCCCTGTGGGGGCCCGCTGCAGGGGTGTGGGAGAGGGCCTTCAGGTAGGAAAGGGCACCCATGGAGGCCTCCCAGGCTGGGCTGTCCCTGGGGCAGTCACCCCAGGGCAGGGCAGAGCCAGGACGTGTCCCATTTCATGCCTCATGGACAAGTTTTGGCACTCTGCTCAGCAGTGTGAGGACTTGGTGGCTCATTCCAAAGAAACCCTGAGTGGCAGTTTGGTGCTGTTTGCTCATTTTGTTTCCGGTGCCAGATTCAAGTGTCTAATGGCGCTGGTCCAGGGGGAGACCCATGAGTCGGAGGCATTCCTCTGTCATGGAGCAGGGAGGGAGGCCACTGACCCTGAAACTCCACAGGTGGTTGGAACACTGTGGTAAACAGCAAGTATGATGACGGCCACTGGGCCCGGCCCACTTCTTAAGCGATCTGTCCGTGGCAGATACACTTGATTTGAGGCATCTGCCTGGCAGCCAGGCGAGGGTGTGGATGCTGCTGGGGCTGGTGATCCATGCCCTGGGAGGGTGGGGGCGTGCTTTCCTTAACGAGGCCTGGGGACTGCATGAGATGCCCGGCCCTGCAGGATGGGTACTCGGGACTCCTGTAGATGTGTGTGGCATGAGAGCAGGACATGGGTCATCCCCGGCTTTGCATGTGTGTTGCCCATTCAAAGCCTGGGAGAATGTTCTCCCAACAGCTGGGGAAGGCCATGTGGCTCTCCACTTCCACCCCTGACCACCTGGAAGCTTCCCCAAGTAGTTCTGGGGCCTCAAAGCCGCCTCTTCCCAAGCCTTGACTGAGGACAGTAGTCCTGCAGGGAGGGGAGACCTGCCCTCATGCCCCCTGTGGGTCTCCTGTGGGCCCCCTGTGTCCCCAGCACTCTCACTGCCTTGTGGCCTGATGGAGGGGGAGTGAGCAGGGCTGGGTGGAGGCGCATCCATCAGCCATCTGTGTGGTGGGCTTCAAGGGCAAGGCGCAGGCACTGGGGGGGAGACTCAGGGGACCCCCCCAAGGATGGACAGGGCTGTGGTGTGAGTGAGGTCATCAGACCTATGGCCCATGCTTGGCCGCAGCTCTGCACTGTACTGGCTGGTGTGACTCTGGTGTGAAGGGCGCCGAATCCAGTCGGGTTTTTGTTTAAAGGTTCACCTTGAGGGCAGGGAGTCTGTGCCCTGGACACTGTGGGTGGTGTCCAGTGAGGACGTGGAGACTTCTGTGGGCCAGTGTTGCTCTCCGGTTCTGAGCCTGGTATCTGGTGGCCGATGGCCCTGGCCCTGGGTCCCCGATGAGGTCTGGGGCCCTGATCACAGGCCCAGGCTTCCTTCCTCCGGAGGTTCCCAGCAGGCAGCTCCTGTGGCTGCCTGAATGCTCCCGGCATGAGGATGGCACGTGGGGACGTGGCCGGCCCACCGAGCCCATGTCCTGGGGCTGCAGAGACCCAGAGGGGATTGCAACCACCGGATCCAGACGGGGAAGTCTGTGCCTTACCTGGTGCCCGCACAGTCCCAGAGCCTGGGATCCTCGCTCCCTCGTGCTGTGGAGCCCCCAGAGGGCCCTGTGCCCGCAGCAGGGTTCCGTGTCAGGACGCAGACTGGCAAAGGCCCTTCACCGCTGCTACGAGGGGACGACTGGCCCAGACCGCTCCTGCCCAGCCTTTTCGTTTTCACTTGCACACGGCAGACCTCACCAGAACATCCCCTCCCTCTCCCCGCAGAGGCATCAGCCTCTGAGCACACAGGACAAACTAAAATGAGAACAACTCAGCCAGAGCCTGGGCTGACCTTTGCGCTCTCGTCACACACAGCGGCGTCTTACCTTCCCCGGCAAGGGTGCAGCGCACCCTCAGGGAGTGTCCTGCTCTGTTGAGAGGCTGGGGCGGGAGCACAGACCGTCTGCTAGCGCAGCCTTGCTGAGTGACCTTGGGGACTCCTGAGCCATCCTTGGCCATCCCGTTGTGCCTGCCTGGCTCCCTGAAGGGCCAGCTCGTCTGCCCTCCAGGTCGGCACTGACCATCAGGTTGTGCCCTACACCACGGACGGCCTTCGGGACTGCGGGGCCTGGTGCCTAGTGGTGGTCTAATGACAAGCCTCTCCCTGTCCTGGTGGACGTGGGCTCCCAGGTGAGGCAGCAGCACCGCACTGCAAGGTCCAGCCCCGAGTCCCACCTCTGTAGACAGGTCCCCTTGTACCTCCCCCTCTGTGTCCACCACCAGTCCGGTCATGGAAGCCACCTGAGATCTGGGATTGGCCTCAAACCTACAAAACAATGTATCTTTTTGCACTTGGAAAACAACCTCCCATGGGCCTAGTGGCCAGGCAGGCTGGCGGCTCCACTGAGCTCTCTGGGCTGACTCGTAGCCGGTTTTCTGCCTCACTCCGCAGCGGGGCTGCAAAAGCCTTTTGTTTAAATACCAAGTGGTGTGCTTTGCTTTTTTTCTGTTCTTTTTTTCTCTTTTTTTTTTTTTTTGGGAATACGCTTTGAGAGACACTCACTTCTACCTGAAGCTTGGGGCCTGGTCCTGCACCTCTGCCCCTCGGCGAAGTTCACGTGAACCCACACACTGACTCGGGGCGTCCCGGTTAGCCCAGGTGGCCAGTCCCCTCTCTGAACCGCTGGCCTCTGCTCCTCCTTGCACACTGATGACTTGTGCTTAGTGTGGTGGCCTGTCCCCCGTGTGTGCTGTCCTGCCTAACCCTGTGGTCTTGTGTCGTTTCTTCTTCCCTTGCAGGGTCTGCCTTGAAGCGTCTCTGTCTAGGCAAAGAGCACAGCAGTCGTAATTATCGGGTTTTTTACCCCTTGTCCGCTCTCCATCGCATGGGCTTTCATGTGGCTAGTGCGCATCGGGGGCTCCGCAGCCAGCGGGCAGGCGTGCATCTGCTCCGCGCCCACCTACCCAGGGCACCGCTTTCCCTCGGCCTGGAGGGAAAGCGACCCGCGGGTGCCCCCTCGCGTCTCCATAGCTCCTAGAGTCTGCGTGTCCTGGTCAGTTGACACGCACTCTCCTTGCCCGGAACGTCCACACATTACCAACCATTAATTGGCTCCTTTTCCAAAACCGTAGGAATGAGTTTGTCCTTGAAGTGCTAAAGATGAGTGTCCCCGAGGAGAGATGCCGGGATGAAATGGGTATCAGTCCACGTGGGCCGCCCACCACTCTCACCTTACACCATTTTTCTCCTCCTTTCTTTTTTGGCTGAAACATTCATGTAGAAATAGCTCTGTGTATGTAAATTCCATCACTAATGTTTAACTGTTTGTGTCTGTGCTTTTTCATTGCTAGCCACTGTAACTGCATTTTGTAACGGCTTGTTTGAAGAGATGGTCATTATGCTGTTTTTTTAATGCAGAAGAATTGCTAGCCAGGAACTGTATGTTGTGGTTGGGTGGAGGACACAATTTAAAAAGAATTAAAAAGTCCCATTTTGGTCATTTAAAAGTAATCTTCCAGTGAGGTGGGTGAGCATGTTGTCTTCACCAAGCTACAGCTGAACTCCAGTCCCCAGGCCTTCTTGGCGTCCAGGCCTCCTGGTTCCTGCTCCACCCCACAGATGGCTCCCAACTTGGGGGCCCACAGTGGAAGGCTTTGAGTGTTTGTACCCTTTAGCAGTACCTTCCCTACATGTGCTGGTGAGGAGAGGCACAATTTTGTGTCTTAAATTCTATCTAGCTAGCATTTTCCCTTCGCTGGGTGGACAGGGGCTGCCGTGGGCTGGGTGCTCTGCCCACAGCATTGACACGTTTCCCTGGAGTCCTCGTGTTCAAACACAGAGGCCTTGGGATTCTGCCCCCAGTTTTCTGAGCTCCCTCACATACGAGTCTGGGGGTCCTAGGCAGTGTGGACACAGGGTGGATGCTGAGCAAGCCTGCCAGCTGCTTGGGTCCTGTCCTTTGGCCCAGCTGCCTGGCATAGCCTGGTCCCCTGTAGAATGTTCCAAAGTGTCTAAAACTGGCACATGGACCCCTAAATGCAGACCATCTCCTGAAGCAAGGTGTTGCCTGGCCTAAGCAAGACCACTGTTCGAATGACTGCAGCTGGCTGGTGGCGCTGTGTGCAGTGACACCGACCTGGCCTGTGTGTGCTTCCCCAGGGTCCTCCACCAGCAGCCTGGTCCCGGGCCCTGAGCCGGGCCCCCAGCCCACCTTACACGCCCAGGCACAGGCGAACAACAGCAACAACAAGAGAGGCACCTTCACGGATGACCTGCACAAGCTGGTGGACGAGTGGACGAGCAAGACGGTAGGGGCCACCCCGCTGAAGCCCTCGCTCAACCAGCTGAAGCAGACTCAGAGGCTGCACGGCATGGAGGCCCCAGCGGGCTGGTCCCCGGCCACTGGCGAGGCACGGGCTGTAAGTGGGGTGCCGTGGGCAGAGGCCGCCCCGGGGGGGGGGGGAAGGGATGGGGTGGGAACTGCCCCTGGCGTCCACTGCTACCTCTGGTGCGCCTAGCCTGTGTGGGGTGGAGTGAGGAGCGGCCACCCAGGGCTCTGTCGTGTCATGCGTTCCTGTGACAGGGCTGGGCCAACTTGACAGCCTCCCTGGAGGCACATTCCCTTCTCGGTCTTGAGTCTGTGAGAGATTGTGTTACTTCTCCCTGCAGTGTTTAGCAGAGTTTCCTGGAGAGCCCATTGGCCTGGGAGTCTTGTTTGGAGTGTGGAAGATTCCCCTGTGGCTTTTTATTTCAAAAAATAGAGAAGTGTTGGAAATTGCACAGTGAATTTTAGTGTGCCCCTGGCTGCATGCTGGGGCTGACATTTTGCTGTCTTTCTCACACATTTTTCCATCCCCTGAGGGTCAGTTTCCTTACAACTTCAATTTCTTTGATACTTTTAGTGCACTGGATTTTCTATTTTTCTCTTTCTGTTAAGCCCTGCTTTTCTAACATTTGGTAGATACCTATCTTAAGCTTCCAAATTAGTTGGCATGAAGCTGCTCATAATATCCTATTTTCACAATTTGCAGGGATGTCTTGTTTTTCACTTCTGATGATGGCGATTTCTGCACATGTGCTCCCCCTCCCTCTCCCTGTGCCGCATCCTTAGGGGTTCATAAATTTTATTAGCCTTCTCAAAGAAGTCATTTTGGCTTTGATGGTATTCTTTATGTACCATCAGTTTCTCCTTTTATCATCTCCTTCCTTCTATGTTTGGGCTACTGTTTAGGTTCTAGACAGTTTCTTACGATGTGCAGGTCATTCGTTTCTGGCCTTTCCTGTTTAGTAATATAAGCATTCAACCTATAAAAATTCCTCTCATTCTAGCTGCATCCTAAAGGTTTTGCTGTGCAGCATTTTCTTTATCCCTCAGTTTAAACTATTTTGTAATTTCCACTGTGGTTTGAAGTAATATAGTTATTAATTTCCTCATAACCTTTTTTATTACTGCTTTTTTTTTTAACCCAAGTGCACTGTGATAAAAGAACAAACTTGTGGTGTTTTCGGTTCTTTAAAATTTGCTGGGACTGGCCCTTTGTCCCAGTTGTCAATCAGTCTTGCGTGCGGATGCCCCAAGTGCTCGAGGCTGCCTCTGCATTCCCGCCACACACACTGTGCCCTGGCCTCCCCCTCTCCTGTGAGTGGTGAGTGACAGCAGCAGCTCCAGAGCCCGAACTCCTCAAACCCACTCTCTGTTACCCTGTGGCAGAGTTGACAGCCTTGTGGGGTCTTTCCCCTGAGTCCCGGTGGGCAAGTCTCTGCTCAGCCCCTTGGACTCCAGTGCACAGAGAACCTGTGCAGGGCCGGGCCCTGTCTGTCAGCTCACTACGCCCCTTGTTCTAATGGCTTGGATTCTTACAAAGACTTTTTAAAATATTTTTCTACTGTGGTAAATCTATATAGCATAGATTTTACCATTTCAATCATTTTTAAGTGTTCAATTCAGTATACACACAGTGGTGTGTGACCATTACCACTATCCATTCCTAAAATTTCTCCATCATCCCAAAGAGAGAACTCATTAAGAAATAACTCCAGTCCTCACCTCTGGTGCCACTAGTTTTACAGCCTATGTTAACTTTCATTCTACTTTCTGTGAATTTGACGACACTAGGCACCTCGTATAAGTGGAATCATATAGCCCTTTGCTGTCTGGCTTATTTCACTTAGCAAAATGTTTACAAGGCCCAGCCATGCTGCAGCAGAACTTCACTCTTTTGGGGAAAGAAAAGTAGATAGAGAATATGGTCAGCAGTATTGTGGTGAGCATTTCGTGATGTATACAGATCTTGATTCATTATGTTGTATACCTTTTAATATTTAATATTAAAACTATAATTTTATAAAACTATATAAAAACTAATTTAATATTTTACGTCAACTATACTTAAAAGTTTTTAAAAAGTAATTCATTTTTCCCAATTTTCAAACTGTAAAGTACCTGACATAAAATCTGCCATCTCAACCATTTGTTAAGTGCTACCTGAAGTGCATTAAGCATTAATATTGTCCAACCATCACCACCGTGGGTCTCTAAAATGTTTTCATCTTGCAAAAAACTCTGTCCTGATTGGAAAAGAACTCCCCATTCCCCCCACCCCACCCCTCCTCAGTCTCTGGAATCACCCCTCTACTTTCTGTCTCTACCGATTTGACTCCTATTGGTCCCTATATAAGTGGAATCCTCCATTACTTGTTTTTTTGGTCTGGCTTATTTCACGCAGCATGATGTCCTCAAGGTTCATCCATCCTGTAGCTGGTGTCAGAACTAGAATATTGAAGAATCATTCTGTTGAATATAGAATTATTGGCTGACAGTCTTCTCTTTTCTGTACGTCAGGTATTTCTTTCTGCCCTCTCTCTCTTCTCTTGAGACTCCCATAATGTGTACATTGGCCAGTTTAACAGTATCCCACAGATCCTTCAGGCTCTCTGTATGTTCCTTCATTCCTCTTTTTTTTTTTCTTCTGGTCCTCACACTGGATAATTCCAATTATATGATCTCAAGTTTGCTGATTCTTTATTTGCTGCTCAAGTCTGCTGTTGAGCCTCTCTAGTGGATTTTTAAATTTGTTATATTTTTCAGTTCTGATATTTCTATTTGGTTCCTTTTATAGTTTGTCTTTTTACTGATATTCTCATGATGGTTCTGCCTGATTTTCCTTATTTCAGTTTGTCCATGGTTTCCTTTAGATCTTTGAGCGTATTTTTAAGTTTGCTTATTTATTTTGAGAGAGACAGGGGAGAAAGACAGAGACAGAGGCAGAGAGAGAGAATCCCAAGCAGGCTCTGTGCTGTCATTGCAGAGCCCAGTGTGGGGCTTGAACTCCTGAATCATGAGATCATGACCTGAACTGAAATCAAGAGTTGGACATTTAACCGACTGAGCCACCCAGGCACCCCTCTTTGAACATAGTTAAAATATCCAATTGAAAGTCTTTAGTATCTAGCCTTTCTCAAGGACAATTTCTTTTAGTTTTTTCTTTTTAATGGGCTGTATTTTTCTGTTTCTCTGTATGATCTGTGATTTCTCATTGCAAACTGAGTATTTGCATATTATAATTACTGACTCTGGAAATTAGATTCTCCTCTTTTCCAGTATTTGCTAGTTTTGTTTGTTGAAGGCTTAGGTTATATTAGCTTCAGATTTCCTTGAATATCAGGAGCTTAAACCCCTCTCCCAGTCTTTAACAGATTGGCTCATGGCTAGGAGAACTCCTTCCACACTTAACCAGGCCATTTATAGTTTGCCTATGCCTTCACTTTTGCTTCCATTGACTAGTGGTGAAAGCTTAGGGTTTTCTGGTGTGTGTGTGTGTGTGTGTGTGTGTGTGTGTGTGAGAGAGAGAGACAGAGAAGACAGTATATTCTGCCTTGGGCTTGCACATGGCTTTCTAAATTCCTCAGTACACATACTTTTCAGTGTCCTCATTTCCCAAAGAAACTCTCCCCTATGCTTTTCTACTCAGGCTTTTAGGCAATCTATGTGTATCTTGATTGTAATCTTTGGCCCCAAGCAACTGCAGATTTTTTTTTACTTGTTTATATATTTATTTTTAGAGTTTTTCATTTTTCTTTTGTTTTAATAGTTTATTGTCAAGTTGGTTTCCATATTAACACCCAGTGCTCATCCCCACAAGTGCCTTCCTCCATTCCCATCACCTCCCTTCCCCTCTCCCCCGCCCCCATCAGCCCTCAGTTTGTTCTCAGCATTCAAGAATCTCTCATGATTTGCCTCCCTCCCTCTCCCCCACTATTTTCCCCCTTATCCTCCCCTATGGTTCTCCGTTAAGTTCCTCCTAATCCTATACGTGCAAACATATGGTATTTGTCCTTCTCTGCCTGACTTATTTCGCTCAGCATAACACCCTCAAGGTCCATCCATGTTGCTACACAGGCCAGATTTCATTGTTTCTCATTGCCATGAGGTATTCCATTGTATAGATAAACCGCATCTTCTTGATCCATTCGTCAGCAACTGCAGATTTTTAAGTTGCCTTACAATGTTTTTGAGCAATACCTGCCACTTTGTACCCTTAGAGAATTCCAAATATATACAGATATGTGTATCTTGTGTCAGTCCTTCATGTGGCCTTTATACAGGTTAGAATAGACATACACGACAAATAGTGAGTGAGATTTCTGCTCCCTCCAGAACCCAGGGCCAGGTCCCCACACTAGGAACACAAGCTGCCCTCTTTAAGACAGTTGTAAAGATAAGAAGAGGGAGTGGCAGGGGCTAGTAAAAACACCACAGTGCTTTCCTACTTCTAAATATTTGGTTTTTTCTTGATTTGTCTTTTACTTCCATTTCATTGCCATAAACCTTTAACTGTTTTCCGGAGTTCCAATAAAGTTAGTTTTGATGGTTTCTGGTGGTCTTTTCACTGCTTCCGTGGAGGCATGGAAGTTTGAAGCTGCCTACTCCTTCATTTTGCTTATATCATTCTTAATGAGTTTTGTGTGTTTTTGAATATTCTTTCAGTCATTGAAAGAGGAATTTAAAAAATGTCCCACTATGGTGTGGACTTGTATATTTCTTACTGTAGTTCTCTTGTATACATTTTGAGGGCAGGTTATCAGGTATGTTCATATTTCGACTTACTGGTTTCCTTATGAGTTGAACTTTTAATATAAAGTATCTCTATTGTGATTTTTGCCTTTAAATCTAGTTTGTCTGAAGTTGCTGTACCTACACTAGCTTGTGTTGGCATTACTGTGTACATGGTATGGTTTCCAATCCTTTATTTCTGTATCCTTGTTTCAGATGTTTCTCTTGTAAACAGCATGTAATTCTGTTTTAAAACCTTGAACATTTACATTTAATGTAATTGCAGATACAGACGCCTGAACAATTTAGGAGTTAAGGGAGCAGACAACCTTGCTCAGTCAAAAGTCTACATATAACTTCCGATTC